CAAACACTTCCCCACATAATGGCCAGATCCATTCCTCAAAGCATTGGTGTTACGTGCCACCCTCGTGAGGGCCTTCCTTGATGTCCTTCCTCTTTGCTTCTTTTCTTTTTTTTCTTCGTTTTTTCATTTTTATTTCGTCGGCCTCCAACCTTGCCCCGAGTGTTGAGCCCCATGTTTTCAGGAATAGGCTACTAGATGGACGTTGTGTTTGCCTGTGAAAGGTAGTGGTGGTTTAATTAATCCTTTTTCAAGGAGTTCATTGAGTTGTCGCTTCATTTCTTCGGCCTCCGGAACGAAGATTTGGTAGGGTGGTCGGCAGGGAGGAGTGTGGCCGGGTTCCAGATCAATGGTATGGGAGACACCACGATCCCTATGTAGTCCGACAGGCAAGGACTCGACAAAGACTTCCTTGAACTCCTCGAGGATGGAAGTAAGAGCGGGGTCGGAAGGGGGGGCTTGGTCGGGTTTATCTGTCGGAAGCAAGTCCTCGGGATGCTCATGATCAAGGACAAGACAGTAATTGGTAGAGTCGGGGTTTTGACGAGCCATGTGGAGAAACTGGTGGGGAGTGACGGAAGGTTGGGAGGTAGGGTGAGGGAAGTAGGGAATGTCAAGGGTAGGGCCAGGGGGTATGGTGATGCGAAAGAAGGTGGGATGGAATGCGTAGGGCATGAAACGGTCGAGCCATGGGGTTCCCAGGACAATGTCGCACATCAAGTGCATGACATCGAATGAGACCTGACTGCGGAGAGAGTCGATAGTCATGGTGGTTTCAGGAACGGTGCGGTTTACTATGACGGTTGTGTCCTTGTCCCCTAGTCGAATGGTGATCGGGGAGTCATAATCGGTGGAAGGGAGACCGGCTTTGCGGGCACAAGCTTCGGTGATGAAGTTACTGGTAGCTCCAATGTCAAGGAGAGCCCGAAACTTGATTGTAGACGCACCTAGAGAGGCAGCGATGAATTTGAGTTGGAAGCGGGAGGAGTCGATGTAGGCGGAGGAGATCATAGTGTTGAGGCGGCATTGTTCGAGACCCAAATTAACAAGCCGATCGAGTTGTGCTTGTTCCTCAACAACATCGGAAAAGGAGACGGAGGAAGGGTTGGGGAGGAGGGTGGAAGAGCACGAGGCAGTGATGATCTCATTCGGCGGGGTAGGGGACGTCGCCGAGAGGGGGGCAGGTGGAGTAGACTGCGACGCTTGGGGGTTGACCGGTGGAATTATGTGCACTCCATGATCAAGGGTACAAAGTTCACGTTGAGGAGGGGTCGGGTCCCGCGGTGGCGGAAGAAGTGGATGCCGCAGGTTTGTTCACGCGTGGCGAGTGAATTGGCCAGCGTTGGGGCGGTTTGTTTGCTGGTGTCGAAGCTGTCAGCAACGGAAGCAGCAATTGTTGGCTTGCATGTAGGTGCAGTCCTTGGTTGTGAGTTTCTTGAGATGGGGGGGGTGGGTGGAGGAAGAGCGTTGAGCCATGCGGTCTTGCGTTCCATACGCAAGAAGTGGATGGTGTTGAGTTCCTTGGAGCTGAGGGATGCGGAGGAGGAAGAGGAAACGGTGTCGGGCTCAACGATAGGGGCTGTGAACTCGTCGTCGGAGGGAGACGCTACAGTGGTCTCATCCGCGGAGATGTTGTGGAAGAACCGTTGACGGGAGGTGGTGGGACCGCGAACAGGCAGAGAAGGCGATCGTGTTGAACAGCACGGGTGAGGAGGTCGGTAAAGGACATGGGTGGCTCGTAGGCGAAGGCAGAGGCGATGTCCTTACAGCAGACCCGCTTGAAGCGGGAAATGAAGACGTTGTTGCTGCTCTGGTCGTGGGGAATGTTTTGACGGAGGGTACCGACATATTGGACGAAGCGGTCGGTGGGGCCGTTTTGGCGAAGCCTGCAAAACTGGTCGACAGAGTCGTTGATTGTCTTTTGTGGGCGGAAGGTGGTGGAGAGGAGGGAGGCCCACTCGAGAAAGGGGAGAGGAGGAAGACCGGCGGAGTGTCGGTTGGCGGATTCTGTGATCCACCAGCAATGGGCGATGTCGACAAGTTTGTTGACGGCAATGGAAAGTCGGTGGATAAGGGGGACATTGTGGAGTTCGAAAGCTTGTTGTAATTTGGTGAGAAAGAGGAGAATGTCGTCATGGGATTCTCTGGAGAAGGTGGGAATGTCTTGGAGGCGGAGGGAGGGGGGAAGGTAGCCGGTTTGGGGAACACATCGAGCGGGGATGTGGGTGCAGACGCGATGCGGGTGTAGTCGTCAATGGGGTTGGTAGGGATAAGGTTGTTGGTGGGAGGCTGGGGGAAGGCGGGGATGCGCGTCGAGGATGACGCGTAGGGGATTTTGGTGACTGATGCGGATGTGAGCAGGACGGATGTGATGGTCGAGGTGGACAGGATGGGAGCGGGGATGTGTTGGTGAGGAGGGAGGGAGGAGAAGTGTGTGATGGCAGGGGTGGAATGTGGGGGGGTGGAAGTGGAAGAAGTGGGGGGNGGCAGGGGTGGAATGTGGGGGGGTGGAAGTGGAAGAAGTGGGGGGTGGGGTGGTGTTGCTGGAGGTCGGGGTGGTTGATGATGATGGAGGAGGAGGAGAGGTTGAGGTCGGAGTAGATGAGGTGGTCGGTCCGGATGTGGAAGTGGATGGAGTTGTAGTGACCACGGTGATGACTGGAGCTTGCTGCTCGAAGGCGGTCATGCGATCGGAGAGAGCGGAGATAGTTGATTCCATGTCGGTGAGGGATGTTTGAACGGTGTTTGTATGGTGGAGAGCATTTGGAGGATGGTCGAGAGGTCGGTGGCGATGGCGGGGCCAGCTCGTTGTTCGCCTGCAAGTTCGCGGGTGACACTGTTGACGGACTGAGTGTGCATGGGGGTCATGTTGATACTGGAAGACTCAGCCATGGGGTTGGTGGGGGAGGATGTGGCCGTGGTGGCGATAACAGCGGCTGAAGTGGCAGCAGTGGATGAGACGGCAGCGGCTGAAGTGGCAGCAAATGAGGCGGCAGGGGCTTCAGCAGCTTTGCGTGAGGTCTTGGTTTGGCGTTTCATGCCCGGGGGGGGTGAGTTGAAGGCGGGGGAAGGGGGGTTGAAGGTTTTTATTTACAAAATGAAGAGAATTTTGAAATTTTTATTGAAAAATGAAGGGGAAAAAAGAAGGGATTAATTCAGAATATTAATTTCGTATTTAATTCTAGATTAATGGAATTTGTTTGAGAAGAATTGATGAATTTAGAAAGATATTTTGCAGGGATTTTACAAAAGGAAAATGTTGAAATTTTGAAAAAGGATAATTAATTCCGAATAAAGAAATTAATTCCAGCGTGGATTAGTTAAATTTATTCAAAAATAACTGATGAGTTCAGAAATACATTTTACAAGAAAAAATAAAAAGGTGAAATTTCGAAAGAAAACAATTGATTAACTCTGAAATGTTTCCGAATCATACACGCATCCTTTGCGCGGGGGCGCGGCACATGTGGCGCAGAGCGCACATCCATGCACGCGCGCACGTGATGCGGCGCATGACCCAACAAAAAAAAAAAAAGATATCGAAAGGACAGGGTGGGGTGGCCAAACATTCCCCTCGCTTCTAAAAATCAGAAAGCAAGAGGGAGAAAAGTCGGGGCCATGCCGTACCCCAAAACTGTGGGCACATGTCTATGCATGTGGATAGTCATGTCCTTGTTGTGTCCAGCCTCTTTTCCGAACGGCCCCTACAGCGAATTAGCTAGGACCCCAAGTGCAGCAGAGGTAGACTTCAAACTTCCAGTTTGTAAGCGCGGGCAGAGAATCTACAGTCTGGATTCGAATTCAGGTCTGTGCATCTCGGTTATGGGTCACTATTTCTCTTGTTTCTCGTTTTTCTTTTCTTAGGAATACGTGCAGTAGCCCTAAGGGCCTCTACTCACCACATGCACAAAAGACACAACATATGGCAGCATATTATTCCAAGTTCTGCAGAAGATTCATTCTAATTTTGCACATTTCTTGAGCAGTGCAGCCAATCCCTGAGAATCACGTGCAGAGACGAGCTGGGCCTAGCTACGTGAGAAACCCATAACTGCTGAAACACAGACCTGAATTTGAATCCTGAGTATATATTCGGCCAGCTCATGCTCTACTTCATATTCACTGCCTGCCTCGATTTTGGTAGAGGGTCCGCGCTACATTGCTGCGAGGACCCTTCAGATTGCCTACATGGGCCCTCTGAGCCGTGTTAAGGAGATAAGTTGCTCTCTCTCTCTCTCTCTCTCTCTCTCTCTCTCTCTCTCTCTCTCTCTCTCTCTCTCCCC